CTCTGTGTGTATATATATATATATATATATATATATATATATATATATATATATATATATATATATATAATAAAGATATAAAGATTTGCTAATATATATATTAGCAAATCTTTTTTATTCGTGTAATTGCATCGCCGTCGCTCTCTCCGCGGTATAATATCGTATTCTATTCTCAGTGGCAAACGGAAGGAAATGGACATTCTCGGGAATAATGGAGCATCTGTTCTCCGAAACGCGGCATACCGTGAAAAATGAAGGTAAGACACGAGACTGGACAAGAAAGTCTTCAGGATTGTGTACCCTGATTTACGACGGCGATTTCTGCATGACTACGAGCTGGAAGTAAAACGTAGACATTACTTGAGGACTGCGTCGTCAAAATAAACGTAACACTAGAACCGAAGGAAATGCTGCGAGCATTTGTCAACGTGACGGCACGAGGAAAGCGCTCCGCCGCGCAGTTAACTGTGTAACGCGCGTTCTACACGATGACCTTAATATGTCTTCGTAGGACGTTGTAATTTGGTTATACCTTCACAGTGGAAATTGCATGCGCTATCTGTTTTCCGATTCTAAGAAGCCCCTCCAGATGGAATTAGCGGTCTTAACCCATTTATTACATCATCTTTCTTTTTCTCCTTCTCTTTCCTTCCTCCCCCCCCCCCCTCTCTCTCTCTCTCCGCCGGACATTTTGTCGGGAATCTACTGGGACGCGGCAATGTCTTCGTACCTTACGTAATTTATCGTTTCACTGGCCGTTATTATCCGCGATCTCCACTTAGACTCCACTCAGAGAGCTCGCTCTTACTTCGACGCATGTCTAACAAAATGTACATTAACGACCGCCGGTTCCTTACGCGGTTTCACCGCAGCGAGATTGCGGCATACACGGCACCGCGCAGTTCTACATTCGCAAAGCGGAAAATTGCCAACTAATTGCCCAATATTGTAGCGTAATGAAATTCAAGATAGACATTGTGGATATGAAAGGGAGAAAGATAGAGGGATAGAGAGGAGCGAGAGGAAGAGAAGGCGAGAAATATATGTCAGTCATTTGAATTATTGTATCGTATAAAACTCACTCATCATCGCGCGTATTACCTTTTATCCGTCATCCCCAGCTCGCCCGCTGAGAGCTGAGGGGAACATTTCATAATTAACAAAAGTCACTCATTCCGCAGGAGTGCGGAATGTAAAAATCGTGACGATTGTTTAAGTTGACACCAGCGGCTGCCTTAATGTATTTTGCATTACCATAAAATCAACTCCATTTGTGGGCAGCGCTCGAGGATACGCGGCGAGCAGGAAATGTAACAATAATATTTCTCCCGGCTGTGTAAGGAAATACGCGAGTGGGAAGTGTATAACAACACGATCTTCGTATATTTCTGTTATGCATAATACCATTGGATCACGCTAATACGCGTGCATGCTCGCGTATCTCCAGAACGAACCTCGACTAATCTACGTACGTAGACTCTGCTGGTTTGTTTCACGAAAGAACACGGCAGAATAAAGTCTCTCTCTCTTTTTTTCTTTCTCTCTTTCTCTCTTTTTCTCTCTCTTCCTTTTAACTCGATGCCTTACGTCAAACAACGTATCGAGGGGAAAGCTGGGTCCTCCACGGGCGACCCCGTGGCGACGCGGAGACACGTGACTAACGAACCGTGAGAGTAAATGGCGATGTTTAAAACGCCGGATGTTCGTGGCGGCAACGACGTCGCTAGACTGACGAGACGTCGCGACGCCTCCCGGCGCGCTTGCGTTCTTCTCGCGTTGAAAAGGCATTCTTTCTTCGTCTTTTCCTTCGACGGACTAAACATTTCCTTTCTCTTTTTCCTCCTCTCGCCTAGGCGTTCCATGATACCCGTGTCCCGTTGATTCGATTAAACGACAAATCTCCGATGTGATGTGAATTGCCGTGCAACGGAAAAAACACGAGGGTCTAACACGACGGCAGTGAGAAAAAAAGAGAAGAGACAGAGCGGAACAGTAAGAGAGAGGGAGAGGGAGGGAGGGAGGGAGGGAGGGAGGGAGAGAGAGAGAGAGAGAGAGAGAGAAAGAGAAGGAGAGAAAGAGATTCATTTATTGTACGCTTTGGGACATTATCCCTTCAAGCGCATAGATTACAGAAATGTAATATATAAATAAAAGCAAATAATACAAATTAAATGATTAGGAGTGGTTTATAATTCGCATATTAATTGGCATGTCAAAATTGTGTGCAGAGATAACAAAGACCAAAAGTGTACCAAAAGGAAACAAACAAGAAACAACGCAAATAAACATACTTAGTGAAAGTCATTTTCAACTCCTAAGATAACAATATTCGACCCGATTCTATTTCAGTAAACATCACCAAGAGAGAAAGAGAGAGAGCTTCGGGGGATATACTCGTTTAATTTCAAGTAGTTCTGGCTGAAAAGTACACTACGTCTCGTTTCGATAAAATTGCTGAAAGAAGAGTCAACAATGCGCGCCGCGTCGTTTTTAATTTTTGATGCATTATTACGCAGCAATTAGTTCACAATGGATGTGTCAAACTACATATATCACTAATGACAAACGCGCAGCTGTTGACTGTTTTACGTTATGACGATGGAACATAAATTACGCGCATATAAAGCGCATTATACCTCATCAGTGACGGCAATTTAACCACTTTTAGATTCGTGCCGCGGTGCGGGATGGTTTATGCGGCACATCGCGCTATCTGCAATTAAGCCGGCATGCAAGAGAGACGTGCAAAAGTATTTATGTAATTATCGGAATGAGCATTCGGCATTGTCGGGAGAGACGCTCAACAATCTATTTCTTACTCGACTGCTAATTCTACGAAGATAAGTCGCGGTCATAGACACGAGAATGCCGCCGGAATTACGCGGTTAGCATTTATTGCGCAGTTGCAGTCTGTTTCGCGCGGGCTTAACCTACTTACATTTAATGCACCTAGTTTGTGAATATTATTATGGTGAACTATGTGGAGAACCACGTCCGCTCTCGTATCCGTAAACATTTGTCTGCGCAACAACATCTAAGGTTACTGTGCGACTATTCGTCAAGTCCTACCCAGGCGATAACGCAATCGATTAATATCTAATTAGTATCTAACATATTTAATTACTCCACTTTCTTCACAGATGTGTCGGTTCGGCCCGATATTTCGCAGCTGCGCGCGATACTCTCTGTCGCGACAATTCGATAAAATTAATTCAACCAGCCGCGCTAAGCTTATTACACGCAACACTCTCGGATCCCTCTCGCGGGGAACTTGTTACGCACACCGGGGAGAAATTCCAGACGTTCCTCATTACGTGTCTATGATATCTGAATGAAAAGGGAGGCAATTCGTAAGATTCATAAATTAAATTTACAACGCGCATTCCGCGATGAGTGCTTCCCAGTGCGTTGCTTATCGTGGAGTTTACGGCATTCTCGCTTCCCCCTTCGTTAACTACGGCATGCATCAATAATTACGCATAAAGGCAGCCGCACAGTAGCTCAAGAACGGGAGCTTCTAACAAGGACAAATTACGGCTTCGATTCATCCTCGTGCAGCGGAATAACGATTGCCTAGGCTCGCGCGGCGCACGTTATTTATCGGCGGTGCAGGGCTCGCCGATACGCGAATCTTTAATAAGATCTCGCAAAGTGTGCGGCGACGGCGACGGCAGCTCGTTCGCGACGCGCTGGAAAATAATCAGAGCGTGGAATCTCATAAACGGCCGGGTGTGTAACGCGGATTACGAGATTATCATTTGGTAGTTCGGGGTCGGAGGGGGTAGGGAAGGGAAGTGATCAGTGTATACATATAATATCGCGTAACGCGCGCGCGTGCGAGCGCAGATTGTAAATGAAAGCGATACACTCACGTGAGTGAAACGCCACCGTTACAAATTACCGCGATGCGGAATTCAATATCGTCATTATCGCTAATGCGAGAGGCGTTTACTTTCTTTTCATAATACGTTACGCAAGACCGATCGATCAATCGTTCGATCTGTTTACGTAACACGTCGACGATGGTCACCGCGCGTTGAGAAATGTTACTGTCTAGGAAGCAAGAGATTACGGAAATCGCGTGCGCGCTCTCTCTCTCTCTCTCTCTCTCTCTCTCTCTCTCTCGTTTCCTCCCCTCCCTAATCCCTCTCTCTCTCTCTCTGTCTCTCTATTTCTTTCCGCGGGAGAAAACGCGGCAATCTCTCCGTACGCCTGGGGCGGGTACTCGATATTATTTCCTCCAGCAACCTTGACTGTGGAATGATCTACCTTGTGTGTCGGCTAAGGAAACCTGACCGGTATGCGAGACGTACACCTGACTTCACCGCACAATATAATGCCCGCACGTGATTCCCGCTCGACACGTGCGCTCGACGTCGATCGATTAGGCGATCGCGAAAGGCGATCTGTGTGGGAAAGTATTTCAGCGAGATTGAAAATCGAGTCTCTCTCTCTCTCTCTCTCTCTCTTTCTCTCTTTTCTTTCTCTCCTCTTGCTCTCTTTTCCGAATCGATCGGCGATTTTGCGCGCGGGCCCGCGAAGGAACGTACGATAAAAAATAAACGTTACTTTCAGATAGCCACAAGCATTCCCCCCAATACTTCAGCGCGGTCGAACCGCGACGGAATGATAAGTTCCTCGGTACGTCCACCTTTGGAATTGTAACAGCCGCGATGACTGGTTCGGACACTTTCACATGTCGTCTCGTAAGCGCATTGTAATACGTTCCGCCTAGTTTCACAGGAAGTAGTTGAGCCGCGGTAGTTATGATAACTCTCGATATCCCCGCGAGTTGAGCGTTATATAAGAAAGCCGAATGAATATCCAGTTGCTTGTACGTCTGGGTTTATGATTCCCTTCGTCACACGCTCTAAGTGCCAGGCTGAGATCAGTTGAAATGATTGCACGGCAGTCGGTTTTGGGAGCGAGAGCGACACACGCTCGGGGAAATTCTCGTTTCACGGAGGTGAGATTCCGAGGAGTCCTCGCGGATGAATCGGCGCATCTTTCCACGAAGGTGTATGTCGAAAAAGGTGCGAGAAAGGAAGGAAACGCTGCCGAGTTTCGGCACAGGAGGCCACCACAACGCCGTGTTAATAATTTAATATTTATTCTGCTAAGACAGCACAGGTAAAAAAGAGAAACGTAATCATTATATACAAATATATCGTTAATGTTTCGACGCCAGACTCTCATCAATGCAGGTCGAAGCTGAGCTCGTGACCGCCGCCAAATCCGCCACCGTGTCCGAATCCGCCGCCGCCGCCGTGTCCGAAACCTCCGCCACCGCCGTGTCCGAAACCTCCGCCTCCGCCTCCGCCCCCGCCGTCGCCTCCGTGCACCAAGACTGGGTATGACTCTTTAACGATCACTGGGACCTTGACTGGGTAGGGGACCTCCTTGTGCACGGGGTAGGGTACTTTAACAGGTACGCTATACGGCACGGGAATCTTCACGGGCACCTTGACGGGCACCTTGAAGGGCACCGGGACCGGTTTCTCCACGGGAACCGGTACGGTCTTCTCTACCGGGACAGGGTAAGGCTTTGGTACATGAACCGGGACCGGGTGGTCTACCGGGACCTTCACCGGGACCGGCACCGGCACTGGCACGTTCCTCTCGACGGTGTAAGGCACCGGGACTGGCACCGAGACTTCCCTGTGGATCGTGATGCCGGAGATTCGTCCTCCGTCGCCGCCGCCGCCGCCGCCGCCGCCGCCGCCGCCGCCGCCACCACCACCACCGCCTCCGAAACCGCCGCCAAATCCTCCGCCATAGCCACCGAAATCGTGTCCGCCGAAGCCACCGTCGCCACCGAAACCACCGTGGCCCAGACTCAGTTCCAGACCGCGCTTGCTCTTGACGTCCTTTGAGTCCACGGCGGCATTGCCGTCGGATTTCTTCGTCTCGGTGGCGAGTGCCACCGCCGCCATAAGGGCGAGAAGCACGAGGATCTGTCGGAACAAATGTGTGTTAATCGCGGCCCTTCACGGCCAAGGGCCGACGTTGTGGGTCACCCCGGGGACGAGAGGAATTCTGCGCGACTGAAAAATGACTCGCTCTCTCGAATCTTGGAACTAATTTGGAGGAGACGCAAGGCGCGCGACGTACGGCACGAGTAACGAGCTGGTCCAGCAATGGTCTCTTATTACGAACGCAACGTTGCACTTTGCGAGGATACCTACGAGAGCATAATTAACGCCAAGAATTCTAATTACGTATCTATGGAGCCCGTGTTTAGCGCAGGACTCTCACTCGTTCGCGGAGACAAAGAGTCTACGACTCCAGAGCGAAGCACTGTGTACGGGGCGTTGCGCGGAAACGCAACACCTCGATCATCTACAGCCGATCTCGCGAGTGCCGCGCGCGAACGCGAAAACGCCCCAGCCTTTCCCGCGCTCACAGGCCCTTCGCATGCGCGAGGGGTTCCCTCCAGGTATCAAGAACAAAGCCTGCACGAGCCCTCTTAAAACGTGTATGTAGTATATGTGAATAACGTGCCGCTGCGCTTGAGCGGCCGAGCTCACCTGCGAAGTGCTCATGGTAGCCTTCGGGAGTGCACACTGAAGTTGCATCGCGCCAATCAGCGGCATATATACTGGCACTTTCGCCCGTGCTCGCTGGCCCACTCCCCGGAAAATCGCACTCGTCCACGGAACGACGGTTCTAAGGTGGACCGATTGTGCCGCTATCCCGCGCAAAACCGTTCGGCGTTAAGCCGTTTTCCCACGGGGGCTACCGGCCATGAGGCTGACTACTACCGGATGCCCGGATACGGAGGGGGCCCGCGCATAACGTCGCCGTCCGTTTCGACTGGTTTAACCAACCGCCATCCCCGCGCATAACGGGGAAGAACCCGATAATTTAGAGCTCTTCCGCCCTCTCCCACCCGCTCTTGAACGCTTTCGCGTTGGGTCCTTCTTAGCTCTCTAAAGTACAATCAGTGTATTCTTCACTGAAATGTTCTACTTGTAACTGAAATGTTCCACTTGGTACGGTCATAAAATCTCGCTGAAAGAATCGGTTGTCAATAGTGGCGACTGTTTCTATTATTAACACAGTTTGTGTGCAAATACAGACAGCGTTATTACACGCAAATGGAGTCACGCTCGAGAGAATGGTCTTGCAATCGTAGGCAAGATTATCCGAATACGAGAAATTAGCTAAGATAGATAAATGACAAGCAAACATTGCGATGTCGCATACGTTCTGCATTTGAGCAATATAGATAACAGAGACTGAATTTCTATTTGAACTGTTTGTAGAATTTTGCAAGAAAATTTCCCTGTAATTCCCATCCAGATTAAAGCCACACTTCTCTCATAAGGATTGACTGTGGTAAACAAAAAAAATTATAGCGACAAGAGGCAAACGAATATATAGTCTTCATACTCGCCTAAATTTGTTTGCAAATATTGTTAAAACAGTTGCTACTGTAAATCCTGTATATTCTAGCAGAAACTAGAAGAAACTAGCAGAAACTAGAAGAAACAACAATAAATTTTGACTCCGACATTTAGAATTTCATCTGGATGAGCTAAGCATTCCTTTAACTGCATTTCATCGCAGAAAGTTTCAAGGCGTGTGTAACGAATTTGTATGCTGCAAATTTTGCAGTGAAACTTTGCTTCCTTCTACTGGACAAAATCAGCGAGATATAAGATGGAACAAATAAAATGGGAACTGAGAATCAGTGAGCATTCACGGATCATCGACGAGATACTCCTTTTACTGATTCAATCAGAAACATTGTTACCGATTCACTTCAGAAAAGAGAGAGAGAGAGAGAGAGAGAGAGAGAGAGAGAGAGAGAGAGAGAGAGAGAGAGAGAGAG